CAGGCTGGCAAGAGAGGGCAATTAGGGGGGGTGATCAGGCCAGCAGGGCAGAGCAGTGAGGGACAAGATCAGCCAGGCAGGGACAGGCAGTTAGGGGAAATTAGGCAGGCAGGCAAGTCAGCAGTTAGGAGCCAGGGGTCCTAAATTGTGAGAGGGATGTCCCCCAAGAGATCTCCAGTTGAAGAGAGTGCATGCTGGGCTGAGGGGCCTCCTACCCCTTGCCCCATGTATGAATTTTATGCACTGGGACACTAGTTTATAATAAAGCTGAAGGTCAAATTTGTCTCTCAGATATATAAACATTATGCCAGGGAATGAAAAGGAATTTAAAACTTAATGATAGATTTGTCATTATCCCCTTCTTGAGGGTACTTTCTGCATAAAAGTTTTGGTGATTTTAGTATTATATATGACTTATTGTATAAAGATAACTTTGTATCTAGTAGATTAAGAAATTTTTTTCTGTTGCATAGAAAGTCATGTTCATTTGTATGATGATTGTGACTTGTTTGAGATGGGAGAAGAATGATTTGGGAGTATTAGTTCCTTAAGAATATGATGTAGAACCGTATGACTTGGGTAGCTTCAATAACACTGATAATAGGAATGGAGGAAAAACTTAGAATTTTAACATCAGATGTAACATCTGTGTGGTACACTATGATGGCAATTAAAAGTGGCTTGGGGTCTGAGGAATTGAATGTTTCATTTTGATTTAATTAATATAAGTTAAATTGCCATATGTGGCTGGTAGTTAATCTATTGCATAATACAATCTCAAACTTAAAATTTGACATTGAGTATATTGTTAGGAAATGTTCAAAGTCTAAGACAAAACTTTGATGGAGGCAAAACCGGTCTGGCTCAGCGGATAGAGCATCGGCCTGGCCATGTGCCTTGGCTGCGGGCACATCCCCGGTGGGGGGTGTGCAAGAGGCAGCTGATCGATGACTCTCTCTCATCGATGTTTCTAACTCTCTATCTCTCTCTCTTCCTCTCTGTAAAAAAGTCAATAAAATATAGCCGAAGCCGGTTTGGCTCAGTAGTAGAGCGTCGGTCTGCGGTCTGAAAGGTCCCAGGTTCGATTCCGGTCAAGAGCATGTACATTGGTTGCGCGCACATCCCCGGTAAGGGGTGTGCAAGAGGCAGCTGGTCGATGTTTCTCTCTAATCGACATTTCTAGCTCTCTATCCCTCTCCCTTCCTCTCTGTAAAAAATCAATAAAATATATTTTTTTAAAAATCAATAAAATATATATTTTTTAAATTTAATGGAAACTCCCAAAAGAAAACAAGTCAATTTCATTAATTAAAATAGTTACAAATAATTATAACTTGAAGAAAATCTAGCCTAGTAAGAAGTATCAAAAAAATTATATAACTACTGAGTAAATTATACCTGCAGTCTGCCAACATATTCATTATTAAGGAAACCTCAGATTATTGTACCATTAGAAGCAAAAATGCATTTATAAAGAAACCAATTCTGATTTTATAAAACTAACATCAAAATAAAAGGAAACTATTAAAATATGACAGTTTTCCTCCATAAAAGTCAAATGTTCTATACTAGTGGATGAAATAGGAAAGCTGTTTTTGTTCAAGTCAGAAACAAGACAAATACTTCCTATCATCAATTACATGATTGTCACTGTAATTAAACTTCATTGTGGCAGTTCCAGCCATTGAAGTAAGTAATAAGTAAATGAAATAATTACTATAAACGTTGGAAAAGAAGAAAATAATTATTTCTGTTTTCAAATTATAGGATGCTCAGAAAACTCGGGGTAGTAGAAAACAACTAAAATTAATAAATTTTGAAATGGTGATACACACACACACACACACACACACACACACACACACACTGAGTGGCCAGCTTATTAGGAGGAAGATGGGGGGGGGAGAGCGGGGAAGAGATGACAGCAACCAGAACCCCACGTTGGTCTGGTGCCCCCACTCACCTGCTCCACCATCCTGCCATAGCCAACACTGCCATGTTCTGCATGCCCCTCCTGGTGGTCAGTGCACGTCATAGTGACCAGTTTGGTTGTACTGCTGTTCGGCCTATTTGCATATTAGGGTTTTATATATATAGATTAGTTTTACACAACTGATTTATTTTACTCTGCTGTAGCAAATCATAATTGCCATTCTTTGTAAAATTTGTGACATACCATACCTTTTAATTGTCTCATTAGTGTGTTTTCATTTGAAAGTTAAAAAAAGTTAAAATTTTTATTCTTACTAGTAAGCTAGAAAAATAATTTATTATAGTTAAAAATATATTTCAATTTTACTACCAATTGTGATTTACATAAATATCACTGTAACTCATGCTGTCTTCATAAACTAGTCAAGTAAACACATTACAATGCTGCATTGTTGTAAGGAAAAATAACTTCAACTGAATCATTCTGTTGATACAAACTAGATTGGTGCTCTGTTTATGTATATTATACTAGAAATGACATGCCCCCATCAAGACAATATGATATCTTGATACATTTACCTTTGATATTAGAAAATCCTTATCAAATGTATTATGAGGTCGTCTTAGGAGCACTAGTTTTTGTGTTCTTTTTAAGGGAAATTAGGTTTAATTATATTGTCCACTTTGCATCTTTATGATAGCACAAGATCCTAGTTTCTTCTTTTCCTTTTTGTTTTTTCTTTTTGTTTCCACTAGAAAGTACAATAAGCTGCAACACATCTATGTGATATAATAAAAGTGAAATATAGTTTCACCCCTAGACCATAAAATTGTCATTAATTAAAAAATATTTTGTACTGCTTCAGTTGTTAAGTAAAATTTTATATTAATTACAACTTTGAAAAATTAAAAGTCAGCCCTGGCCAATTTGGCTCACTTGGTTGGGCATAGATAGTTCTGTGCACCAAAAGGTTGGTTCCATCCCCAGTAGGGGGTGTACAGGAGGCAGCCATTTGATGTTTCACTATCACATCAATGTTTTTTTTTCTCTCTCCCTTCCTCTCTCTCTAAAAAGTCAACTTAAAAATCCTTAAAAAAATAAAATTGCATGAAACATATTAGCACAGCTCTAGAATCTATAGCAACTTATTCACTTTAATGATAAAAATTCACTTAGATGAAACAACTAGACCCAATTAAACAAGATTAGTTGAAGGAGACAAGGCCCAAAATAAGTCTATTTTAATATATGAAAACATTATTTTAACAGATGTTAAGTAATTTTATATCCTGGCTGAATGCATGAATTAAAGAATTGCTTTAATAAGAAAAAAAAATCAGTTACTTCATTTAATTTGAAACAGTTTGTTTCTTTATACAAAGCAAACAATTTTTAGGGAAGTTACACTATTTATGGAAGTTAAGGGGTTCACTTTTCAATTAGATAGTAGAATATCCTGTCAGTACATGAAAGGTGATGTAAATTTCCTTTTAGACTTCATTTCCCAGATGAACACTAGCATTTGGAGTATTTTTATTTTGAATAGAATACTGTTTTATTTGAAATACTTGCATAAGTATATGCAAACATAAAATTAAAATATAAGGAGGAATTAGAGTAACAGTGCAATTTCCTTCTTCAGTGAATGCTGAATGTTCATGGAAGAACCAAGTGCCTTAAGCCCAAATTTAGACAGAATAGATTTGACCCTCTTAACATCTTTGCTGAGAAGAACAAAGAATTAAAACTTTTCTCTTACATAATTTTTTACATATTTATCATAAAGTGATCATTACTCTCCTGCCATTATTGCTATTTAACCAAAGAGAAACACACTAGGATGTAAAAGGTGGCTTTTGTTATTGATAGAAATGTTCGTATTTGACTCTGGGAACTTGGACAGTAGATGAGAGAGATTTGGTTGACAGCATAGTAATGTTAATGGGAGGATGGGGTGTAAATTATTACATATGTAATTTAAAGTTTTCAAAAGCATTCATTTAAAGTTTTATTCACTAGAATAAAAGACACAAACCATGCTTTTGTATAAAAAAAATTTTTTAGTTACTACTTTGCCTCATTTTCTCATCAAATCTTTAAAATAGATTTGCTGTTTCAGATATGCAAGAAATGGTTTTTGGATTCTGCTAGAGATGACCTAATTTTTGCTAATTGCTATGCATTCAAAGTTTTGTTTGCTCAGAATGGCAGCATTACTGTCATTATTCCTCGGTAGTTAGAATAAGTGCTTTTATACAAAGCTGGTATTCAAAAGAATATATTGGTACTAACTCATAAGTTGTTTTTGTTAAAATTGGTCTTATCCCAGGGGAAAAAATTGAATGCTAATGTACAAGTTAAAATTTATTTATGTGTGATTCCTTATGTTATTTGGTTATTGATGTTCTGAAGCATGTAAACACACCACACATACACACACAAACACACACACACACAGAGTATCATTTTAAATGATATCAGTTTTCCAAAAGAGGTAGCCACTGTTTTATACTTTTGTTTTCTAGCACCTCAGAATGAAAAGATTCATTCTTCTCAACCATCTGAATACAATTTATTTTAGTTAAATTATGTTTAAAACACATAGTTTTATTTTTAGTGTTTTTATTCAACTCTCCCTACAGGTTAGTTAGTTACCTTCCCCCTATTTTTCATTTAAATCTCCCCCTGCCCCCAATTTCTCCATTAATTTGAGTTGGGAAGTATCACTTTAAAGCTTTATGAATAGAGTTGGTTGCTTTTTATTTCATTTTTCACATATTATGCATCTCTAAAAAGAATATAATAGAAGTAGCAGTTTATTTCATTTTTGAAGGAGGAATCGAGCTTTTGAATAAAAATGTGAAAGAAACTAGTGTTCATTGCCTACGTGGCTTTTTAAAAAGGCTCATAAAAACATTCCGCTGTGGATTCCAAGTCCTCTTTAAACTTGCCACCAACTGCCTGCAGAGCCATGTGATCATCTTGGCAGCAACCAGACCTTTTAGTGATTTCATTACTGTGGTTTCCTCAAGCTCTTTACACACATTGATGAATATTTTTCTTGCAGTTATCGCTGTGATGATTTTGTGGTTAATGACACCAAGCTGGGACTGGTACAGAAAGTCAGAGAACACTTGCAGAACTTGGAAAAGTAAGTAATAAGCCTTGGGGGGAGGAGGGATTGGATTGATTGGGGTTGAGGGATCTTTCTGAATCTTTGAGTGGGGATTTTGTTTATGAGTTCTATAACTTCATGTTTTTAGTGTGATTGAAATGTTAATAAAATAAGATTTGAGTTTGGCTATCTTAAACTGTGAAACAGTGCCCATAGTTAGTGGTCACATCTCAGCATTTATTTCATTTAATATTTGTCATAAATATATCCAAGGGTCCCAGGGCCTGTTTTTCAGTTATAACCCACCGACTTGTAAGCCACCTGGTTTATTTGCTAGGAGAATTTGGGGGGTGCAAGGAAAAGTCAGAAGACAATATGAAATCTTTATACAGTTACCTTTGATAATAGAAAATCCTTATCAAATGTATTATGAGGCCTTCTTAGAAGCACTGAAGTTTATGTGTTCTTTTTAAGGGAAATTAGGTTTAATTTTATTGTCCACTTTGCATCTTTATGATAGCACAAGATCCTAGTTTCTTCTTTTTCCTTTTGTTTTTCCTTTTTGTTTTCATTGGAAATATAAAAATATTTTGTTATGTCATCATAAAGAAATTAAAGAATTTATATGAATAGAATTTTCTTGCTGTAGCCAAATAGGCCATTCAGAGAAAACTCACTGGACCCAAAATTCAGGCAGCTAAATAAAAATCCAAATAGTGCCTTGGAAGCTACAGTGGATAGAAGCATAGTCCTGGAATGACTGCTGACTCAAGTGAAATCTGTGTAAATCATCCTGAGTCATTAGGTGCCATCAAATTTATTGTCACAGTTGATATATAAAAGGTATTACGAGAATACTAGCGGCCTGGTGCACGAAATTTGTGTACTCTGGAGGTGGAGGGGTGGGGATGGGGAGGTTCCTCTGTCCTTCCAGTCCAGGAGCCCTTGGGGAATGACTGACTGCCGGCTTAGGCCTGCTCTCCATGGCAGTCGGACATCCTTAGCACTGCCGCAGAAGTGGGAGAGGCCCCCACCGCCACCACTGCACTCGCCAGCCATGACCCTGGCTTGTGGCTGAGAAGAGCTCCCCCTGTGGGAGTGCACTGACCACCAGGGGGCAGTCCCTGTGTCCGGCGTCTGCCCCCCTGGTTGTCAGTGCACATCATAGTGAGTGGTTGAGCAGCCTTAGCATATCATTAGGATATTATGCTTTGATTGGTTGAACGGTCGACCAGATACTTAGCATATTAGGTTTTTATCATGTAGTATGTCAAAAGCAAGCTTAAATGTAAAGCCAATAGAATATTTTAAAATTGTATATTGAGAGGAAATAACTTAAGTTCTTCAAGTGAAACACTGCATAGCTTTGGTTAACTAAGTCTATGTGCATGTCTCTTTGACTAAATAGATTATAAAGCAGATAAGGGAAGAATTTATTTTTTTAAATCTAAACTAAAGCACTTTGGGTTTAAGAACTTTCTGGCTTGTCATCTTTTTTTTTTGGCTTTTTTCTTTTTCAAAGCACTTCTTCCCTTAATTGGAACAAAGCAGTCAGAGCCCTATCTAGGATTAGACAGACAAATCCAAAATATTTAATTTTGTCTGAAACAGTCACAATTAACTGTGAAGTAGGAGATTCCTGCAGTAATTGATGAAATATCACTCTTTGTGTGAAGTCATTGTAAAGATCTTACTACGATGGTGCTTTGTTGTAGAAGTGGGTAGCTAGCAGAATAGTTTTTCTCTTAAGTCTACTATCTAATCCCTAATAAATTAATCAGGACTAAGTTAAAGGGAAAAGAAAACATTCAGGAACCTGCATGCATTTATGCAGTTATCAATCTTTTATTTCCATTGACCATTTCATCATGTAAAAGATGTTGCAGACCACCTTGTCTACACTTCTACTTGGCCCACGGAAACATCTACCTTGTAATCAATCCTTTTCCTGTGTTGAAAAACACCTACATCCATTTTTATGTTTTCAAACATAGGCTTTAGTTTATAATGGGAGCTACATTTTAAAAACTGTGATTACATTTATGTTTTACTTACCTTGAGACTTTTCTGCATATTCTCTAGAGCAGCACTAGAACTTTGTGTAATCAGCAGTATCCAGTATGATAGCCACTGGTCACACGTGGCTATTGAGCACCAGAAAAGTGGCTAATGTGACTAGAGAACTGAATTTTAAATATTATTTAATTTTAATTTATTTAGATATATGTAGCCACATGCTGCAAGTGGCTACCATAGTGTGTGCATCTAGAGGATTTTGCTATTTTGAGACTTCCTGATGATAAATTTTAATGACTTTAGTTTTAAAAGCTAAATGTTTTATGTAGATTAAAAATAAACTGTTAGCCATTGTCACTAAGTAGCATATGTCCTATGCTTGTGATTCAACTTCTTTACTTACAGAATTTTAAAAAATATATATTTTATTGATTTTTTTACAGAGAGGAAAGGAGAGAGATAGAGAGCTAGAAACGTCGATGAGAGAGAAACATCGACCAGCTACCTCTTGCACACCCCCTACCGGGGATGTGCCTGCAACCAATGTATAATATATGCCCTTGACCGGAATCGAACCTGGGACCTTTCAGTCTGCCGACCGACGCTCTACCACTGAGCCAAACCGGCCTCGGCTACTTACAGAAATTTTGAAGGAATAACAACATAGTAGTCTATGGAACTGGTCTATTCTTACCTTATAGCCACCAATACTCTGAGAGGGACATGCAGTTCTGAAGATACGTTTCCTATGAGTGTGTTTAGATTTGAAGCAACTGACTGTTAGTAGATCTGATGCTCCAAAGACATAGTTCATCTGGAAATTCTGGAAAGAAGCAATTTTGTATTTGCTATGGATAAGCTTAGTATTTTTAGGAGATGGGAAAGAATTGGCAGACTTAGAAGTCTGTGTTGTTTAATGATAATTTTATCTCCTGATACATAATTTTAAAGTGACCCTTTGAAGATAGTACTTAATCTCTGATAAATTTAAGCAAAATATATCTTTCTTTTAAAAAATACGTTTTTATTGATTTTTAGAGAGAGAGGAAGGAAAAGGAATACAGAGATAAAAACATGGATGTGACATCAATCAGCTGCCTCCTGCACATCCCCCTAATGGGGATTGAGCCTGCAATCCGGGCAAGTGCCCTGACTGGGAATCAAACTAGCGACCTCTTGGTTCATGTGTCAATGCTTAACTACTGAGCCACATGGGCTTGGTATAAAATATTTCTTTCATCAAGAGAAATTTAAACAATTTTAATTCAGAATTTCTGTGCTAATTATTTATTTTAGGATATCCTTTGTAGCATAGCTGGATCAAATGAATTTGTATATACCTATCCTTTTTTATTATTTCACAAACTTAGATTATATCATCACCTAATATGACAGATGAATACAACATGATTTATATCTTTACCAAAATTATAAAAGAAGTAGCACAGTATTTGAGATTTATGATAAATCTTAGAATAATCTTGCCAGACCAGGGTTTTACTTTTGTTACGAGGAATGGCTGTTCTCATTTGTGAAGCTTCACCTAGGCAAATAGAGTGGCGATGGCAAGGGTTTACCTACCTGGCCAGCTTTTCAAATAAGACAGTGGTTAAGCATTGACACATGAACCAAGAGGTCGCTAGTTTGATTCCCAGTCAGGGCACTTGCCCGAATTGCAGGCTCAATCCCCATTAGGAGGATGTGCAGGAGGCAGCTGATTGATGTCACATCCCGGTGGTGGCTTCTTCTGGCTCATCTTGCTGAAGGAGCGCAGGGCTTTTCCAGGGAGTGGAGCTCCTCAGTTACTTCAGTACTTTGTGGGCCACAGTGGACCTACCCTGTTTCCCCAAAAATAAGACAGTGTCTTATATTAATTTTTTTCTCCCAAAGTTGCGCTAGGTCTTATTTTCAGGGGATGTCTTATCTTTCCATGTGCTAGGTCTTATTTTCGGAGGATGTCTTACTTTTCGGGAAACACGGTAATAGGTCATTTCCTCACCTGACTAAGCACCTAGACACTAAGAACAGCCAAGTATATTCTCTAAAACCTGCTGTGAAGTTTGTGTGTGTATTAATGTCTTTTTTTATTGTTTGTTTGTGTTTCAATAGCTCAGCTTTCACAGCTGACAGGCATAGGAAAAGAAAACTTTTGGAAAACTCATCACTAAACACCAAGTTACTAAAAGTAAATGTAAGTAATTAAAATTTATTCAAATATAAGAATTGTTTCAGATATAGTCTGCTTTATTACATTAATGATAGTCCTTGTTCACTTTTATAAGTATACTAGAAGCCCAGTGCATGAAATTTGTGCACAGGATAGGTCCCTCAGCCCAGCCTGCATCCTCTCCAGTCTGGGGCCCCTTCGGGAGATATCTAACTGCCAGTTTAGACCTGATCCCCAAATTGGCAGTTGGATATTCCTCTCACAGTCTTGGACCACTGGCTTCTAATCACTCATGTCTGCCTGCCTGGTTGCCCCTTACTACCCCCCCCCACCCCACGCTCGCTGGCCCAGTTGCCCCTCACTGCCCCCCTGCCAGCCTAATTACCTCCTACCGCCCTCCCCTGCCAGCTCAGTCATCCCCAACTGCACCCTCCTGCAGGCATTGTCGCCCCTAACTGCCCACCCCCCATCGGCCTGGTTGCCTCTTACTGTCTCCCCTGCCAGCCTGGTCGCCCCCAACTGTCCCCCCTTGCCAGCCTGGTTGTCCCGAACTGCCACCCCCTGCTGGCCTGGTCACCCCATGCAGCCTGCTGTACAGTCATTTGGTCGACCCTCACTAATCCCCCTGTTGGCCTGGTTGTGGGCAACCATCTTGTGAGAGCATGAGGGTTAATTTGCATATTACCTCTTTATTATAGGATGCGTTGGATTTAGAATATTTTATAAAATGTTTGCCACTTGTACCAATAATTCTTAATGTGGCTAAATACCCCAATGAGTCCAATTGACAGTGCTTTCTTTTGTCACGATTGCTACTGTACTCCGCTTTAGCAAGCATTTGTTCTTTTTTTAAAATTAATTAATTTTATTGACTATATTGGGTGACTGGTTAATTATATAGGTTTCAGGGGTACAATTTTATAATACATCATCTGTATATTGTATTGTGTGTTCACCACACCAAAGTGTTTGTTCTTAATGCCTACTCACGTACCTCATTACAATGTTTCTGTAAGATCCAAAGATCCTTGCTTTCTGTTAAAGTCCCTAGTATAAAATCTGTGGGTCTGAAATATTTTTCAGAATATTTATATTAATATTCTAAAAATTAAAGTCCTAAAAGTTTCTTAGGACTTCATTAATATAACTTCACCATAAAATAATATGCTTTCTCATTCTGGTAATCATCTGTTACCAGATGTATGAGCCATTAATGGATTAGCAAAATTTTAAAATCATGAAATATTTATTTATTTTGAAACAATTTTTATTGATTTTAGAGAGAGAACATAGATGTGAGAGAGAAACGTCTGTTGGTTGCCTCCCACATGTGCCCTGACCAGGATTGAACCCACCACCTTTTGGTATACTGGACGACACTCCAATCAACTGAAATACCCTGGCCAGGGCAAAATCAGAAAATATTTCAATAATTTTACCCTGCATCTATCTCTCTGCTCTTGTGCCAGCTATGTATAGACACACTCTTAAAGTGTCTCTATTTGGTGGAAGAAAGAGCTAACGTGTTCTCTGCCCAACTGAGTTATGGTCAGAGATGCTTTGATTTGGATCAGTAGATTCACTTCCAATGTTCAGGTGTAGTATTCAGATGTCATGATGAACTTTTAGAGCTAATTAGAAAATCAAGCCTTAGTTTAAGGGAAAGTCAGGTAGTTTTTTAAGATTAATACTCTATTGCTAGAAAAATATATATTAGTTATTTATGCATGGCTTAGCGTTAAAAGTTTGGTGACAGAAATACTTGGGGTGTATACATTTTTTTTTTTTGTAACGAGTAGTAGTTTTAATAGAATCTTGTAATGGCATTAAGTCTTAATTTTTACTTCTTTTAAGGATCTTCCTGGTTTTTGCATTCTGTACTACATGGTACTTATTAATGCTGCTTTCCTCATAACCGTCCACAAGATACTCCCATTTAGAACAGTCCCAGGATTAAAAACAACCACCTAAACATGTGTAGACACTTATACAGAGAATATAAACAGATTTTGAAATATTAATTGGACAGAAAAGGACCAATTCCAGATTGGCTTGATGTTGGAGTTTCAAAATATAGGCCTTTGCTTTGCTTCGATGTTTGAAACAGTTTTTCTCTTGGCATTACTGACGGCCTCTTCTTGTCCCATTTTACAGGGAAGCACCGCTGCCGTTTGTGCCACTGGCCTTCGGAACTTGGGAAACACGTGTTTTATGAATGCCATCCTTCAGTCACTCAGGTAATCTGACAAGTATCTGCTGTTAGTTTCTAGTGGAATAGTTAAGAGCAAAGGCTGTGGGTTCAGATCCTCTCTGCCATCGACTCTAATCATATGGCTTGGGGCAAGTTACCTCAGTTCCTTAGATTTCTCATCAGTAAAATTGGGAATAATAATTCTACCTCACAGGGTAATTGGGTAGTATATAATATAATTTATATAAAGTGCTTATTAGAAAAGTACCTTGCATTAAATAACTGATAGCAGTTATTATTTATTTTCTATTGCTTCTTGAATAGGCTAGAGCAGAGACCATCAAATTTCTTCTGTAAAAGGCCAAGTTAAATAAATACTTTTAATCTTTGCCTGCCACATATAGTCGTCTCTCACTTATTCTTCTCCCCTCAACCACCCCCTCCCTCCATTTTTAAACATCTGTGTTAAAATGTAAAAGCTCACTGGCCCAGGGCCAGATATGGTGTGTGGGCTGTAGTTTGCAGACTCCTGGGCTACAAGGAACCTTTTTCAGAAAGCTTATTTGAATCATTAGTTGAGTCTTAAGTGTAGTCATAAGATTGGATGTTTAGAAGATCTTCAGAATGTAAGATAAGCAGTAAAAATAAAATGGCCAAGAAGGCTGCCCTAAGTTGTATAGAATAAATTATTTTGAAAGTTGTTTACTTTTAGATTTTAATGAGCTTTCAAAAGTCAGAATAAATTATCTTCTGGAGACCACCTTGGGAATAAGGCAGAAGCCATATTTTTATTTCTTCTTAAAGGTACTGTTAGCTTATCCAGTTTGCCCAAAGAAGACATTTTAGTCACTACTGAATCCTCCTTGTTATTCCATATAGTGTATGTTTGGTTCTATGGGTTGTTTTTATTTGAGGGAATTGTTTACCACCTACAAACACCCTGAGAAGAAAGAAATGGTGACAACCAGTTCTAAAGATGTGTGGGGATGGGAGATTGAGGATCTTTTTTAACAGATTTTGTTTTAAGATCTTTGTTCATTTCTGCAGTCATGTATTTAAACTTAGTATAAATGTGGGAACTTAATGAAGATACCCAGTGCAAGAGAATACGTTGAGTACAATTAAAATGAAAAGTTGAGATTTTGTTTTCACAAAATCCATATGTAGGTTTCATAGAACTTTCTTTACAGTAAATGAAAAAAAATAATTTTCTTCCCTTCCTTTTTAAATAGTAACATTGAACAGTTTTGCTGTTATTTCAAAGAACTGCCTGCTGTGGAGTTAAGGAATGGGAAGACGGCAGGAAGGCGAACATACCACACCAGGAGCCAAGGGGATAACAACGTGTGAGTTCTAAGACTATATATCCTTTCTGGCTTTGATACAAAACAAAAGACTCTTATTGGTGATTTCCATTGCATATGTCAGTTCACAGGCACAGACATTTAAAAAAAACTCTTCTAAAAGTTGTGTTTAAGTATCTAGCAGATAATCTTAATTGGTGAAATTCTTTATATGTATTTACTTAAAAGGCAGCATAACTTTATCACTATTTACTGAATTTTTGTGAATTTGGACATTCTAAAACTGATGTCTATATATGAAATACAGTTTTAGGTGAAGACCAGCATGAATATCACTAGTCTTTGTGAATTGACTTGTCTGATATTGTTTGGTAAACCTCTCTTGGGCAATACAGTTCATTTTTCATTGACATGAAGAGGGGAAGAATTGATTAGTGATTATTGAGAACTAATATCTATTCAGAGCAGCCACACACTATTTGGGGTTTAGATGATCTATCATATTATCATGATTGTAAGGGGCACCTTTTTTCATATCTTACCATTACTGCAACAGGTCTGTGGTTTATAATCTGGTGTGAGTTTTTTTTATTTTACCAAAAGATATTTTTTCCATTGATTTTTAGAGAGAGTAGAAGGGAGAGGGAGAGACAGAGATAAACACTGATGTGAGAGTGATACATCCATTGGTTACTTCCCACATACCCCCAACTAGGCCGGGAGCCTGCAACCAAGGTACATGCCCTTGACTGGAATCGAACTTGGGACCCTTCAGTACATGGGCTGATTGGCTGATCTATCCACTGAGCCAAACCAGCTAGGGCATCTGTGTATGTTTTTAATGTAATATTTTCCCTGCCTGCCCATCCCATACCCACACCCCCATCCCACACATTCCAAAAAGCTGTTTTATAACCTGGCACTGTTCTGCCTAGGTGGCTGAGGGAGAATAGGATAGAACATGTTAGATGAGTATACCAGTATGGTTAGAGCCAAAATATGGGGCAACTTTAAAGCCAGGCATTGAAGAGGGATGGAATGACATCACTGGAAGTGGTGTTTTAAGAGTTTACTTTGCCTGGCCTGCATGGCTTAGTGATTGAGCATTGACCTATGAACCAGGAGGTCAAGGTTCAGTTCACAGTCAGGGTACATGCCTGGGTTGTGGGCATGATCCCCAGTAGAGGGCGTGTAGAAGACAGCCGGTCAATGTTCCTCCCTCCCTCCCTCCCTCCCTCCCTCTCTCTTCCTCTCTCTCTCTCTCAAATCAATAAACATATATTTAAAAAAGAATTCACTTAGATAACAGCATATAGGAAGAACTGGAAAATGATATAGGATGAACTGGAAAATGCCTGCATTCAGGGAGCCTCATACTCCATAGTAACTAGAAGCCCAGTGCATGAACTCATTCACAGGTGGGGTCTGGCTGGTCTGCCCTGATAGGGCTTGGGGAGCCTGATCAGGGGTGGAGCTGGTTGGGTGGAGGGACTGCAGGCTGTTGGTTGGTTGGCCCCGCTCCCTCACTGAACTTACGGTCGAAATCCCAGTCAAGGGGACAATTTGCGTATTAGCCTTTTATTACATAGGATTGGGTTGGAGGGGATAGCAGTGAAATGTAGAGGAAAAAATGCATGTGCACAAAACTTAAGGGAAGAGTGAGTAGTACTTGATGCATTAACCATTTAGGGTTTAGTTACAAACTATAGAAATTCCTTCTGGCTATGTTAAGCAGAAAAGGAATTTACTGAAGGTCTAATTGGAGTGCTAACCATTACTGGATAGGTAAAAAATCAGGTATGAAGTCCGGGCATCTAGAACCAAAGCCACAGTCACTCCACAGAACTTCCCCATGAAAACACTGCTTTTGCTGCCCAGTGCAGCTCGAGCTCCCACTGCTGCACTGCTGCATCTGGGTGCGTGGTGAGCTGCAGACGATGATGTTTGCCGCCAGAAAGGGTATGGTACTGTCCCAGATTCTCTGTGTCACTAACACCTGCTCAGATAAGCAGAGCCCAGGCCCTGTATCTCATTCCTGCAGTGGGGATGGAGGGATAGGCTGGGAAAGCAAGTATCCGGACTTTCCAGCTTCCATAGCGGGAGACGGGCTCTGACTCTCACCAAGACTAAGGTGGAGAATTCCTCAAATAAGTTCAGGCACTAAGTAAAAAATGTACTTTGTATTCCAGGGACCTACAGGATAATGCGTTGAGAAAGAAGATACTGAGATTCCCTGAGTCATCTCATCTTTTAGCTACCCATGAGTATGATAGTTTATAGTCATTGAAGTTGAGGAGGTGTTATCAACTTAGCTACATGCATAGATAACCAAAATTAACTGTGACCTAAACATCCATGGTTTATTTTCTCACGCAAAAGTTAGAAGTTTCTGTCTAGGACTGTTTCACGCAGTCTTTAGGCTCCTTCTCGCTCTCTGTGCCATCAGCACTGGGGTGGGGCTCTCAGCCACACAGTGCAAGACGATGCTGGAGGTCTAACTGGAGGTCACCAGTTCATCCTCATTCCAGCTAGAAGGAGGCAGGAAGGGTTAATAAGGACTATTTCTCTTTAAGGAAATTTCTCAGAATTTAAACACACTCAAACTTTTTTATTCCAGGAATTTATGTGCCAAAGGGAAAAAAGGAAGTTTTATTCTTACGGAGAAGATGAGAATGGATATTGGGGGACAATAGGGAGAGTACAGAGAACAGGCTCAGTGCATGTTGAGTTTGAAGTGGCAAGAGGACATTCAGTGGAAAATTCCAGTTGGAAGCTAGAGAAACCTGAATAAAAGTTATGAGAAAATGCAGCTTTTAGATTTGGATTTTTGAGAATCATTAGTATGGAACCGAATGTTGAAGCTTTGTGGTCAGATGGACTCTCTGAGGCAGAGAAGTGCCCCTAGTGAGGGGCAAGAAGGAGAAATGAAGATTTTAAGTTTGAAAAATGTATATTCTTTAATAATTTGGTTTGTAACTTACCCATTGCTTTATTGTTCAAGGATGACGGTCTTTTGTCACAGACTTCACCATATGGTTACAAAACTAGTTTTCTCAGTAATTACTTCTGTTTATATGAATTTTTGAAAGGCTTTTACTTAATTGTCAGACTTAGCTCAGAAGAGACCAGGCCCTCTTAATGTTTTTATTGTATAATTTGTTGTGAACTTTAGACATTATGCATTGTAATAATAGCCTCTCATTAATGCTCAGAGTCTTGTCCCTTCCTCTTTTGCAGGTCTTTGGTGGAAGAGTTTAGAAAGACACTATGTGCTTTATGGCAAGGTAGCCAAACTGCATTTAGCCCAGAGTCCTTATTTTATGTTGTTTGGAAGATTATGCCAAATTTTAGGTAAGTATTATTTAATGAAAGTCATTTAAAACATTAATATTAGTCTTTATATTGTTCCTGAAACAATTTACAGTGAAGTGTGGTATTCTAAATAGTAAAGACTGGTTTTACTATTTATTTATTTATTTATTTATTTATTTATTTATTTAAAGGAGGAGAACAGAAGTTGGATATATCTGACTAGATAAATGTTTGTTTAAATAATAGATATTTGATTCTAAATTGACTACAAGGAAACTCTGAAGCTCATATTGTATATTTGGCAAATAATTAAAAAGTTAACTGAAGTTTGTTCAATTTAACATACTAAATAATATTAAGATTTCCATATAATTCAATAAAAGGTTTTATTTAAATGTTTAAAAATGGAATTGTAAATGTCTCTTTAGTCAGAATTAGAAAATTTTCCTAGTCTTAAAAGAGTCTGTTTTCTGGTAAAGATCACACATTAAAACCCATAACTTACCTTTATAAAAATGCTGAGTGTTCTATGATCTCATGTAGGTAAAAAATGTGTTTCCAGTGGTAAAAAATAAACATTAGAATATAATATATTTTGATAAAAGAATATAAAATCATGGTGTGGTTGGAAACATTCATTAGTATACATTAAGAACATTATTTTTTTTAACATATCTGATGAAAATGCAAATTGGCATAACTACAATGTACTGACTGGTTTTTCATGATCCATTTTAGAAACATGATGATTAGATATCAGGTTATTTTGGTGGAGGAACAAAACTATTTTTATATGTGTAGAACTTCACACATGTCCAGAAGTAGTAATAATACCTTTGAGTTATGAAAAAATAAAAGATGTTGTATTGAAAAGGTTTAAAGCACCTCCTTAGGTACATAAAGGAACTATCAACTTTCAATGAATAGTTTTGACTGTGAATGTTAACATTTATTCATATGAATCTTAGAAGAAATATTTGAACACATATTGGTATTTTGTAACTAAGTAGTTCAGAAAAAGTTATAGTGCAGTGCCAAAGTGACTTCTGATTTAAGTTTTCATTGATTAGGCAGACTATTTTCATAATTTCTTCTTCCAGGAGAAATTTCAGGAAAAGGGGGAAAATATAGATTGAGGGAAATTCTGGTTGAAAGAAATTTTGATTATGGAACCATTGCCTGGAAGAGCAGTGGAAGTTTTGACTCAAGACCAAGCCAGAAAACCTTGAGATTTAGAGGATAGATTAAAGAGAACCTTCCATGCTGGCAAAATGTAGGCATAAGTCTTTTCCATCAACAGTTTTATGCAAGAACCTTGTATTTCATTGCTTGATTTATTTTATCTATATAAACCCTTATGACCTTCCAGTTGTATCAGCTTTATTTTCTGTCAGCCTTCATTTCTGTTTACTTGTCATTGGTCTGCATTAGTATAAGAATTCTATGTATTTCCTATTTGAATACAGTGAAAGAAGTAACCTAAGAAAATGTTGCTATATATATTCAAATTTTAGGATAGAGAATAATTGTGTATGAGTCAATGCATTTTTAAACATGTTTATTTAAAAGTGTCTTTTGAATCGAGATTAGGATTTAGGTATAGAATGGTAGATGTCTTTTTAACCCTTTATAAAGTGTTTCTTATCTTTCAGCCAGTGCTTAAAAACTAGTATCTTTCAATCTAAAGAATTAGTTTTAGATTCCTTATTTCATGAGGTAGTGTTTTAGATTTAGTTTTATGGTGACGTTGAGATATGAAATTTTAACAGTTTAGCATCTTCTGGACAGGCCAGTGGGACAGTGGGAAGATTCAGAGTCCATCCAGGAGAGAGACGTGGGTTATAGCTCTGTCTCTGCAGGACTTTAGGCAGATCCCACCCTCACCCCCTTTTTGACCTCATCTCTAAAGAGGGTTCATTTGAGATCACTACAAGTCCAATTACCTCTAATATTTTTTATTTCCAAACAATTATTTTTCTTGCTGAGAAATTTTGTGTGTAAAACATGGAGCAGGTGGGGATGAAAAGTCTCCAGGAGCCTCCCTGAGTCTGAGCTCTGAGCACCGGGTGTATCTCTGCCCCCACGCTTTTCCTCCTGTGGGCTTGGTGGGCAGGTGGAGCCTCCCCCATGACAGATGTTTGTGTTTGTTTCAGGGGCTACCAGCAGCAGGATGCCCATGAATTCATGCGCTACCTTTTGGACCACCTGCACTTGGAACTCCAGGGCGGTTTCAATGGTGTATCCTGCTCACCGATTCTGCAGGAGAATTCTACTCTGTCTGCAAGTAACAAATGTTGCATGTAAGATTTAGTTTCCTTTGCTGTTTTAGGAGAACCTCAGATTTCTGTTGGTGTTATTTTTTGTTAGATTTATAATGGAAGGCGGAGAGTTTTCCTTAATCTTTGCTGAAAATGTTTGCTCTTGAACTTTGTGAGTGGACTGGCTGAAAATGTTTGCTCTTGAACTTTGTGAGTGGACTGGCTGAAAATGTTTGCTCTTGAACTTTGTGAGTGGACTGGCTAGCACCTGCCTCCCACTTTCAGACCAGAGGCATTTATATTTGCATTACTGGCCAGGCCTAGGAACCCTACCCTATATATTGGGAGCAGTCTTTTAGATTTAAAAATTAAAACCTGGCAAGGCTGCTCTAACACTGAAAAAACAGGATAATGCAGCGGTGAGATGCATGGGCCCTGGCTTGCACATTTTGTGGTCAGCCCTGATTCTGACACTTATAACTGTGTGATAAAGCCAATTACTTAACTTCTCTCTACTTCAGTTTTCCACCCATAAGATGGAGAAAATGGTACTACTGCCTCAGAAGGGTCATATTATGTACTACTTTTTATAATCAGGGCAAAAAATGTAGCTGCCCATACAACAGCTAGATGCCTTTCTCCTGTGTGAAAAGTATGGTCACTGGTGCATGCAGCATCCCAGATGGTGAGAGGGATCTCTGACTGTCGGTTTATGCCCTATGGGGATTGGGCCTAAACCATCAGTCAGACATCCTCCGAGGGCACAGGCCGGGCTGAGGGGACATCCCCCCCCTCGTTTACGAATTTTGTGCACTGGGCCTCTAGTTATTCATAATATTCTAAGTGAGCTTTTTAAGTCTCATTGACCATAACATTCAGCACTTCAATTGTGAAGTCAGAACTTCCCCAGTAATTACTAAGTAAGTATTACATTTCTTCTTTTTCCCCAAACCTGACAAATGGAAATCTACTTCCGATTGAGGTAGTGATTCAAAGTAAAGGAATTGAGAGCTCCCTGTAAGATGAGAGGCCGTGGAAAGACTCAAATTATAAGGCGGTTCCCACTTTTCTTCGGCATATAATTGTGGGGAAGGTGTTCTCTGGCCTGAGTGTGACTCCTGTTAGGAGTGGCAAATGTCTAGTGTCGGTTAATGTTGGAAAAAGTAGTAGGTAGACAGTTTGGGGGGAAGGCCCAACAATGGCTTAACCCTCTTATTTAGAATACATTTATATATTGTAGATTTAAACTTTTTTTGCATTATTTTATAATTTAAATAGAAATTGTTTCTTTTTTTTACTGAGATGTTTTCTTATGTGATTTTCTTTAGAAATGGAGCATCTACAGTTGTCACGGCTATATTTGGAGGCATTCTCCAAAATGAGGTTAACTGCCTTATATGTGGGACAGAATCTAGAAAGTTTGATCCATTCCTAGGTAAGACATATTTGGTATGTGGAGATATTATATTTAAATAATTTTATTTCCTTTGAAAATTAAAACAGTGAAGATATATCATTAAAAATACATAATTTGCCCTAGCCGGTTTGGCTCAGTGGATAGAGCATCAGCCTGCAGATTTAAGGGTTCCAGGTTTGATTCCGGCCAAGGGCACATGGCTGGGTTGTGTGCTCAATCCCCAGTAGGGTGCGTGCAGGAGGCAGCCGATGATTCTCTCTTGTCATCTCATCATTGATGTTTCTGTCTCTCCCTCTCCCTTCCTCTCTGAAATGAAAAAAAGAATATATATATATTTTTTAAAAACAATTTTTGAAATTACTCTTTGAGTTATATGTCTTTAACAGTTGTTGTCCTATTTCCTTTTAAGACCTTTCATTAGATATTCCAAGTCAATTCAGAAATAAGCGCTCTAAGAATCAAGAAAATGGACCAGTTTGTTCATTACGAGGTAAGATATTAATATCCTAGAATTCTTTTTTCCCTCTGAAATACCCAGATATATTTGTAAGTTCCATCACTATGTGCTGTGTTGTTAATCAGTTTAATGAATTTGTGTTGTAACTTAACAAAAATTGAACCTGGATGTCTCTTCCTGTCCAAAAAAATTCAGTTTAATGAGAAGGCCTTTCAGAGATAGTAGGTCAAGCATAAAACATTTTTCACTTTTCTCTTTTAAAAGTGAAAGTTCATAACAAAACCTTTTCTGACCTAATGAAATATAATTATTCTATGGATATCCCACTAGTATCCACAGGAAGAAAGAATACTTAGCAGAGTTTTATGAATTATGGTATTATTTATGCTTTTGTATGACAAATAGTGTGAGAAATCTGTTGATAATACCATTGGTTAAACATAGGCCCTACTTTTAATTGCAAGAATATTAAAATTTACATTTAATTTGCAAGATTTTGAACAACTTTTTTCCTTGGTGAGTATTAACTATTGTACTTTAGTGAAGGCAAGAGCCACTATAATGACTAATTGTTCTTTTTAGTCATAGAAAGAAGAAACTAGGATAGAAAAAAGAGGACCTAGTAAATGTTCTATCATTAAGCAACTGTACACTGAAGGCAAGCAACATAATTTCTGCCCTCAATTGTTGACTAAAAGTAACTTTTTTTCCTTCAACTGTTTCAGGGAGTATTGTCACAATTATAGTTAGACCAGAGGCCCACTGCACAAATTCGTGCATGGGTGAGGTCGGGCCGACTGGGCCCCAATCCACCCTGATTAGGGTCAGGCCTGTCATGAGGAGGAGATGGTGGGAGGTTGGCTGGCCAGCTGGCTGGCTGGTCCAGATCTGGACCTGATCACGGCCAGCTTGGCTGGGAGGAGGGGCTGAGGGCGATTGGCCAGCCGGCCCCACCCCTGAATGAGGCAGGTGGCCAGTTGGATGCCAGCAGGCTGGGGGAGGAGCCATGGGTGGTTGGCCTGCCGTCCTTATCCCTGAAAGGAGTTGGGAGCTGATCAGGGGCAGAGCTGACTGGGGGTAGGGGCCTTGGGCCTATCCAGGTGGTGGGAGCTTATCAGGGCGGGCCGGCTGGAGGGAGGGGCTCCAGGAGGTTGGATGGCCGGCCCCATCTCCTATTGAGGTAGGCGGGGCTATCAGGATGGGGCTGGCCTGAGGGAGCTATGGGGGGGCGGAGGGGAGGGGGTTAGCTGTTCACCTCGCCCTGGATTAGGGTGGGAGGCCCATCAGGGGCAGGGCCAGCCGGGGGAGGGGCAGCGGGAGATTGGCCAGCTGGCACCACCCCTAATCAGGCCTATTTGCTGGCTGCAGTGGGCATCATAGTGACCGGTCATTACAGTTGTTATAGTGTTCTGGTCCCTGGCTTTTAGATAGATAGATAGATAGATAGATAGATAGATAGATAGATAGATAGGAAGGTTTTGTGTGTTTTTGTTTTGTTTTTAAAGAAGAGATTTGAAAACTGTACTGCCTTGTATGGCAACCATAGTTGCATGTGGTTATTAAAATGCATTAAAATGACATTTAAAATTTTTTGTTGCTCACCTGCACTAGTCATATTTTACGTGTTCAAGAACCGTGTGGCTATTGGCTATGGTATTCAACAGCACAGATGCAGAACATTTCCATTATTGCAGAAAATTCTGCTGGACAGCACTGCTCTAGAATCAACTTCTCTGAGTAAAAATATAGCTGTTTGGGGAGGGGCGAGCTTCTCTGTGTCACAGGTGCATAGTGCGGCATTTGGCTCGTTAAATAGGAGCTGTGGAGTCTTGCTTGTAGAACTGTGGCTCAGGCAGTTTCTGGAAATCTCTCAGTGGATGACTGTCAAAGGCACTGGACTACTCTGAGAAACAAGAGCAAACCTGTCCTCATAGATGCTTTCAGTTTGTTCCCACCTGTGTGAGTGCAGATTGTCTCTGTTGAACAGAAGTACAGGAGAAGTTTTAAGGAAGCCCTGCCCACTCCACTTCCCCTAATATATAGGCTATTGTGTGTTTCTCTAAAACTGTTTTTGACTTGAGATCAGTTTTTTAAATATCACAATATACTTGACATCAGATATACTTTATATTTGTAGCACATGAATACAGGTGAACTTAATCTATAATAATAAAAGCATAACATGCTAATTAGACCAGACAGCCAAACAACCTTCCATCCAGACATTCTTCCTGATGAAGCCTTGGCAGGGGGGTTGAGGCAGGGGCAATCAGGCAGGCAGGCAGGCAAGCATTTAGGGGTGCTCAGGCAGGCAGAGTGGTTAGGGGCCATCAGGCAGGTGACCAGTTAGGAGCCAGTGGTCCCAGATGGTAAGAGGGATGTCCTGGAATTCGAGAGCGTGCAGGCTGGGCTGCGGGATCCCCGCCCTCTGTGCACGATTTTCATACACCAGCCCTCTAGTCAGAAAATAAGTATTTGAGCCGAAACCGGTTTGGCTCAGTGGTAGAAGGTTGGTCTGCGGACTGAAAGATCCCAGGTTCGATTCCAGTCAAGGGCATGTACCTGGGTTGCAGGCACATCCCCAGTGGGGGGTGTGCAGGAGGCAGCTGGTCGATGTTTCTCTCTCATCGACGTTTCTAACTCTCCCTCTCCCTTCCTCTCTGTAAAAAAATCAATAAAATAAAATTTTAAAAAATAAATATTTGATCAGTTAGAGGGAATCAGTAAAAATTAAATTATTAATTAGAGAGCCTAAAACTATATAATCTAAATTGGATTGACTTTATTTTGAAATATCTCCAATAAGTCTTTTTTTTTTTTTTAAATAACATAAGGAGGCCATTGGTTACCTTTTTTTTTTTTTTTACAGAGAGGAAGAGAGAGGGATAGAGAGTTAGAAATATCGATGAGAGAGAATCATTGATCAGCTGCCTCTTGCACACTCCCTACTGGGGATGTGCCCGCAACCAAGGTACATGCCCTTGACCGGAATCGAACCTGGGACCATTCAGTCCGCAGACAACGCTCTATCCACTGAGCCAAACTGGTTTTGGCGAAATTTCTTCAATAAGTCTTAATATTGGCATTAGTTTTTTTTGTTTTTGTTTTTTTTTTAAATACTGTTCCTTGATATAAACATGTGGGTATATATTTTAAAAGTATTTCCTAATATTTAATAAAACCCAATAAATCCAGATGATCTTTGGTGGAAGCCCCAAGAAATACTTGTTTGTTCAGGCTTCTTTCCTTTTTTTTTTTCCCCCCCTGTGTGTCTCCTCCCCTGCCCCCCCCCTTCTCCCCAGCCCAAATTGGTCATATTCATGGTTCTCTGTAGCTTTGCACTTATTACCCATCCCAGATGCTTCAATACCAACCTTCCTTTCTTAAGACCATCCTGGAGAGTGCATGACACAGCGTGGGTGGTTAATTGGTACTACAAACAAGAAACTTGGCAGATGGAGTTAATAAACTGGGAACAAACATTTGTAATGTAAGAAAGAGTACTTGGGAAAAGTATATTAAGAAGAAAAAATGCAAATGGTCAATTTAACATCTGAAAAATGTCTCACATTTTCAAGTATAAGTAAAACAAAATTGGTCAAAATGATAGATAATAGCTGTTGTTAGTGAAAATTTTGAAAGTGGGCTCTCATATTGGTGTTAGGAGTATAAATTGGTGCAGTTTTTGGAGGGTAGTGATAATTTTTAATAGGCATTTCCTTAGACATAGTAATTTCACTTGCAAATGTGGACATTAACATATGTAAATGATATTCATTGGAGCATTCTTTGTTACTGCAAGACATCAGAAACAATTTATATGCCCAACAGTAGGGTATTGGCTCAATAAATTATACTATGTAGCAATTAAGAAATCTAAAGTTGATGAATAGCCCAGGCACAGAAAGATGAATACAAAATATTATAGAATAAAACACTCCATGGATGTATGTAGTTTGAATTAATCCATTGTGTATGATAAAAAAAAAACATTAAAATTCTTGAATAGCATACACCGTCTGTTCACAGTGATTATCTTAAGGAATGGGATTTAGGAATAAATGGAATTGTGACTTCTTTTTCATGTTCTTTTATATTGTTTGAATTTTTTAACTTTTGTCACCTTTATAATTAGGTATTTATTTGAGAGGAATAAAAATATGGATTAATTTATGCATACTTCACTATTACTGCTTTGCTAAATTAAACTTACAAAATATATAAAAATGACTCAATAACTTCAACAAACCAGTTTTATTCCTTGCTTTCTATAGGAATTCTGTTTAACAGTTAATATAATGTAGAAGACTGACACTTGTGAAATATATGCCCTGAAAGCTTTGAGAATCTTAGGAGTTTAAAAAACAACCAAGACATTTTTTCCCCCTCATGAAATACAAATGAAAATTTAAGCAGCTTCTTGAGGTTCTTAATGAGAGAAGTGAAGGTCAGTAGAGAGCAACAAAGCTTTGCTGAGGTGTGACTGTGGATACCTACTAGAGATAATTCACTTCCATATATAAGCTTTGAGGTGAAATTCTTATTTGTGCTGCTGCAAAATATTACTCTAGTACATTCAGGGTCAGAGTTTTCAAATATTTAAAACTAGAGGCCCAGTGCATGAAATTTGTGCACTTTCTTGGCGGGAGTTTCCTCAGCCCAGCCTGTGCCCTCTTGCAGTCTGGACCACGTGATCCACTGCCCTGCAGAGGGAGGCTCCACCCTCCCACCTCAGCCTTCAGCTTGGTTGCCTGGGCCTCCCTCTTTGGGGCAGTCGATCGCACAGCCCTCCCCCCCCCCCCCTTGATCAGTCACCCCGAAGAGCGTGGCCTGGGCCTTCCTCTGTGGGGCAGTGGTGGGGCCCCCCTGACCAATCGCATCACTCCCGTCTTAGCTGGCCTGGCCTCAGTGTGTGTCATAGCATGGTCGTCCGGACAGTCGTTCTGGTGTTGGGCTCTTCAATTGATTTGCATGTTACACTTTTATTGTTATAGATATAGATGGTAACTGTCAAATCTATGAGTGTAGAGGAGATGCTGTATTGAGGCAATCTTGCTCTTAAAGAGATGTGTGTGGGTGTATTTTCATAATGGTTTTCCTTATTACAGACAAGGAGAATTCAAAAGAGCGCGGAGAGGAAAATAAATACCCTTTCCTTATAAGCCCTGTCCAGAAATACCATGATTAAGAATATTTCTGTTTAGCCAAAACCGGTTTGGTTCAGTGGATAGAGCCTTGGCCTGCGGACTGAAAGGTCCCGGGTTTGATTCCGGTCAAGGGCATGTACCTTGGTTGTGGGCACATCCCCAGTAGGGGGGTGTGCAGCAGGCAGCTGACCGATGTTTCTAACTCTCTATCCCTCTCCCTTCCTCTCTGTAAAAAATTGATAAAATATATATATATATATATATATATATATATATATATATATATATATATTTTTTTTTTTTTTTTAAAGTATTTCTGTTTAAAAACAGATTTAAAAGCTGTTTTATAAAGGGGCATCGGTTGGAACTTTTTAGGGAAAAAACTATGTTTTGTTTTTTAATCCATAGAAACCATTACAAATGGGCATTAGGTTTTCAGAAGAGCTTAGGAAGTTTTTAAAAACCCAGATGGAGGTGACTGGTAGTTCAGCACTAGCTCAGCAAGAGTGCATGATGCTGCCTCGTTGTTGAAATTCCCTCGTGGCTGCCCCGGGCACACCAGCCTTCTGACCTGATGTAGCTGACAGTGAGGCTGCTTCATTGTCTGGGTACAGTAGTGGTTGTGGGGTTACTGAGCCTGTTGTAGCCGCAGCGAGAGGTGTGAAAAGAAAAAAAAAAGGGCTCCTAGAGGCCACCATTTTTTAAACCGAGCACTTGAAAAACCAGGCTCCACTTGCAGTGCTTTGTGACCTGCTTGGACGGCCTTTCACTCTGTTTTGGTTCATCACGTGGCTTCACACGGAAAGGAGGAAGCTGTGCTGTCTCGTGTAAATAGGCTGTGGGACACTCTGTGGTCACCCTGCAAGTCTTAGCTTCTCAAAAAGGTCGAAGGAAGAAAACGTTGGGAAGCAGGAAGTGCTGGGGGCAGCGAGAAGCTGAGGGAGAAGGTTGTGGAGGAAGGAGTTGGAGAAAAGGAGTAGGTGATGCAGGGCCTGGTGCTTCCACCTTTGGCTATTGTGAACAGGGCTGTTCTAACATAAATGTACAAACGCCTGTTTGAGTCCCTGCTTTCCATTCTTTTGGGTGTAGGCTTAGGAGTGGAATTGCTGGATCATATGGTAATTCTATGTTTAACTTTTTGAGGATCCACAACACTGGATCCTCAGTGGCTGCACCATCTGACCTTCTCATCAGCAATGCATGAGCGTTCTAATTTCTCCACATTCTAGATAACATGTTATTTCCCATTTTTAAAAAATAATAACCATCATGAGTATAAAATGTGTCTTATTTATTTTTTAAACTTTATATATATATTTTTTAATCCTCTCCCGAGGATATTTTTTTATTGATTTCATTTTTTGAAATATTTTTATTTCAGAGAGCAAGGGGAAGAGAGAGATATATTCATATTGAAAGTAGTCTGGAACAGAGGATTCATTGCAGTACAGGAGGAAGACCAATAAGGTGGCCTTCTGTAATCTATGTTTATTTTCTAATAAGTTATGATGCCACGCACTTTGTACACATTATTTGTCTCCCTTACAGCGGTTGTTCTTAGTAGGTATTGTTGTTTTTTTTAAAAATATATTTATTTTTTACAGAGAGGAAGGGAGAAGGATAGAGAGTTAGAAACATTAATGAGAGAGAAACATCAATCAGCTGCCTATTGTACTGGGGATGTGCCCCAAACCAAGGTACATGCCCTTGATTGGAATCGAACCTGAGACCCTTCAGTCTGTAGGTCGACGCTCTTATTCACTGAGCCAAACCGGTTAGGGCTTGTTGTTATTTTTTTAAATCTTCATTTTGTAACTGAGGAGAGCTGACTTTTCCACAGTAACACATAGCTAATAGAGCTGAGATCTGAGCCTAAGTTGTTTGCTTTCAAAGGTCAGTCTTTTTCTATAGTAATTGCCTTTATTAAAGACTTCCCGATGTAATGCTGCCAAAACCCATTTGGTTTTAGATTGTCTTCGCAGTTTTACCGACCTGGAAGAGCTTGATGAGACAGAGTTATATATGTGCCACAAATGCAAAAAGAAACAAAAGTCCACTAAAAAGTTCTGGATTCAAAAACTACCCAAGGTGAGTGTTGAGTTTCAGATTCTAATGCAGTTTCAAGGGAACAGTGCTTTTATGACTGATGAAAAGCAAATTGTTTCTGTAACTTTATGTAATCTCTCCTGTATTAGTCTCTAGTGTTTTCATTAAAAGCTGAATAAACTCTCTGATAAGGCATACTTTAATGTGTCCCCATCAGAGTTTGCAGTGTGTGGAGGGAGAGAGGCTCCCACGGCACCAGCTCGGTGACCCCCACTGCAGCTCAGTTCTGACACCAGCTGAAGGGACGTCAGGTCCTCCACCTCAGAGCCAGTCATAAGCCCAGATTGCTACTTTAGGTTTCTCACCTACACATTAGAGGTTATCTTAAACCCCGCCCCCCACCCCTTTGCACTTTAGATGCTTAGTCTTCTGTTTGGCTGTATGTCAGAGGTTTCCACCCTCCATCCTTGGGTTCCATTAATTTGCTAGAGGAGCTCACAGAACTGAGGAAACCTGTTTACTCGCTAGATTACTGATTTATTACCAAGGATAGAAATAAATAATCTGATGAAGAGATACACAGGATGAGGTTCCAGAGGACCCTCCTGCCGTGTGGAGTTTGGGGCCAGCATGGGGCATATGAAAGAAAGCATTCTGGTTCCCCAACCCGGAACTCTCCAGGTGCCCTCATGGCATAGACGTGACTGATTAAATTACTGGCCATTGGCCATTGATTTAACTTCTAGTTCCTCTACCCTACCCGAGATCAGGGAGGTAGGCCCTCATCCTAAAGTGAGTCACCTCATTCATCAACTAAAGACCTTCATCACTCTGTCACTTAGGAAATTCTAAGAATTTTAGGAGCCATATACCAGAAAAGGGTACTACGACCAAGTAATACATTTCATTATTACAAATCATAGTATCACAATAGTGCGTGCATGGAAGAAAGCAATGTCAAGGACCAAAAGATAAACTGAAAGCCACCTAAAATATTTGATAGACAGTTAACCAAGTAGTTTGTTTACAATCTTTGCCTTTGTTTCTGATCCAGGTGCTATGCTTACATTTGAAAAGATTTCATTGGACAGCATATTTAAGAAACAAGGTTGACACCTACGTAGAGTTTCCACTGAGAGGACTAGACATGAAATGCTACTTACTAGAGGTAAGGTAATATCATTGTTAGCTGGTGAGAAGACGGCTCTTCAGTAAAATTAAGTCTTCACTGACACAGGCTGGAGGTTGTTGAGGTGGGAGATATGGATGCCCTTGACCACTGCCCCTAACTCAGTCCTGGCTGCCTTCTCCCTTGTCCGCAGCCTGAGAACAGTGGCCCTGAGAGCTGCCTGTACGACCTCGCCGCGGTGGTGGTGCACCATGGGTCCGGGTGAGTATGCCAGCGGCTGGCCCCGGTTAGGAATAGCACCACTCTGACAATCTCCCCAAACTCCCTTAAAAAATGTGGATTCAGGCACATTAAAGTGGGTGAAATAGAATTTTCCTTCAGGTTTGGTGTGAAAGAATATTCCTGCAAGAATGCTGTGAAGTGAGGGCACATAAAAGCTAGATGGAAGGTGGTTTGTTTGAGCCTAGCATCCAGAACCCAGTCAGTTCACAAATCCGGAGCATTCTTCACTCAACGAATTTCCTTTGCCAACTGATGTTTAAATAGGGGAAATGGAAAATTATTTATAACTTCGTGTCCTATATTTCATTTTTTATTTTGTTGAATAATTCTTGATTATTTTTCCCCCTGAAAGTTTGGTCTGTTTGAGAATGACTGTTTTACCTTCAGAAAACCACTCTCCATACTGAATACCCTTTTCCTCAGAATTTTATAGACTTTGTTCCATTGACTTCACCACTACAATTCTGAGTCTTTACTCCTTTTTATAAAAAATATTTTTTTTATTGATTTCAGAGAGGAAGGGAGAGGGACAGAGAAATAGAAACATCAGTGATGAGAGAGATCATTGAGGGGCTGTTTCCTACAAGTCCTACACACTGGAGTTCGAGCCAGCAATCCGGGCATGTGCCCTGATTGGGCATCAAACCATGGCCGCTTGGTTCATAGGCTGATACTCAACCACTGAGCCACACTGGCTGGGTAACTCACTCCTCTGTGTTTTCTTTCTTTAGAAGGTTGTAGGATCCTCTGTCTTTGGACTTAAGAAATAACATTGGATGATCTATTCCTGCTTGATCGTTGATAAGGAACAGTCTTAATCTCCTGTCTTCCAATAATGGGAATTTGTTTTTCCCACCCCATACTCTCCTCTTGAATACCTCACTTTGTGAAATGTATAGTAACTTTCTTGGATCTTTCACATATTTTAATTATTCTTTAATGTTTTCCATCTTTTTGGCCCATTTTGCCAAATCAGCAATCTGCGTTACATCTCTTTCCAAATTAAAGATTTGCTCCTCCATGAATTTTTATATTGTGGAGATCACATTTTTTCTCAGAACTGTTTCATAACAGCCTGTTCCTGTTTTATGGTTGCAGTATCTTCTTGAAAACATTGGTACTAATTAGAATTTTTAAAGTTCTGTTTTTTTGCCTTCATTTCCTCAGTGGTTAATTACTGTGGTTTTTTTTTCTTCTGATACTTCTCTTTCATGCTATTTTCCCCCCTCATGACTGATGATTTTGGGATGTTTATTCAGAATCATAAATGATGAGATTGGTCATTATTGGTAAACCGAAGGCCCTGTGCACCAATTCATGCATGGGTGGGCCCCTCTGGGTGGCCGGTGGGGATCGGCCAGAACCCACAGGCCAGCGCCACCTGCAGGTCTTACTCATGCTGGCCCCCTGTGCCTGCCACAGGCTCGCGCCCAATCAGTCCCAATTGGGAGAGACTCCTGCTGCTGCAGTGGTGCTTGCAACCGTGAGCGCTGCATCTGGCGCCTTCCCCAGGGGAGCAGCCTGTGGGATCAGGCTGAAACTGGCTTTCCGAAATCCCCCCAGGGGTCATGGGTTCCAGGAGGGCACAGGCCAGGCCAAGGGACCCCATCAATGCATGATGGGGCCCGGGAGGGACTGCGCGAGGGCTGTGTCCGGTCCTGTCTCACCCAGTCCTGGTTGGCCAGCCCAGGAGGAACCATGAGAGGGCTCCAGGGCGTGTCCAGCCCATCTCACTCAGTACCAATCGGCCAGACCCCAGCAGCAAGCTAACCTACCAGTTGGAGCATCTGCCCTGGTGGTCAGTGCATGTCATAGCTCCTGGTTGACTAGTTGACTGCCTCCTGGTGGTCATTGCACATTATAGCAGGTGGTTGAGCGGCCTTAGCATATCATTAACATATTATGCTTTGGTTGGTTGGCAGTCAACCGGTCACCAGACGACCAGACACCTAGCATATTAGGCTTTTATTACATAGGATTATACATAGGATGGTAAGGGTTTTTCTAACAGTTGTGAAGTTCTCTGTTTTTTTGCCTTCATTTCCTCAGTGGTTAATTACTGTGACAGTCTCTGTTATACCTGCAGGCTGTTCTGCCTGGGAGATTGGGTGGGTCGTGCTGACAGAAAAAAGCCCTTGATGGCCAAAATAGGGGAAAGGCACTTTCCTTCAGCTAGGTTCTTTATTAAGCTCAGTTACCCCTCCCCAAAACTCTCAACGGGAAGTCTGGTTCTGTGTTCTGTTTCCTATAGCCTTAGCCTGTGCTTGTTAGGTTGAGCGTTACTCAGCTAGTTTCTCCATTAATCCAGGGCCGTGAATACACCTTTGTGTTTGAGAAAATCTTCCACTCTGGTGTCAGCCTCTGCCTTGTCATTTCAGTAGGTTTTGAGGAAGATAAACATGTGAGCTCAGTAAACCATCTTAAACCACAGTTCTCTAGAGTTTATTCCATTGTAGCACTTACTACAGTTTTATCTTCTCACTCCTCCTCACAGGGTGGGTTCTGGACATTACACAGCATATGCGACTCACGAAGGCCGCTGGTTCCATTTCAATGACAGCACGGTGACGCTGACGGAGGAAGACACCGTGGTGAAGGCCAAGGCCTACATCCTCTTCTATGTGGAGCGCCAGGCCAGAGCTGGGGCGGATAAACTTTAATACCTCCTCTCCACCGCTACTCGTCAACTATGCCGGACAAACATTTCCAATTTTCCATAAATACTTGATCCAAGATTTAATTTCATTATGCACTTTTCAATTTCCTATTTGGGGTTTAGTTTTATTTTGTCAATGGTAGTGAACCTGGGCACCAACTAATTTTTTTTTTAGTTCTACCAGAAAACCTCAGCAGATATTTTGATTTGCTGCTTTAGTGGTAATAATTCAGTTTTTATATGTAGTTCCAAGAACTTAGTTCTATTGGACGTTTTTATATTAATGTTTCAGTTCTCACTTTGAGGCACATTTACATCAATGCTTTGTTGCTCTCACATGCTGACAGTAAGGCATGTTCCTGACTGGAGAGCAATGCAGCTGCCTGCACAGCTGTGCTGGAGACCAGGCTGACTCTGAATCAAGAATCACGTGTGTGTGGAATCTGTGGCCCATGGGATTTCAGTGACTGCTCAGGAATCATTCATTCTGCCTGTAAAGGTAGCAGGGCATCAATAAGCAGACCAGGTAACCGATGCTCTTGTATTTCTCAAAGCTGCTGTTTATTAGCATGAACGAAATAACTGATATCTGTACTGCAAATTCAAGAATTACTCTGTTGGGTTTGAGGTGTATTTTTAATGTGTGTTTTCATGGAGAAGATAGGAGTACAGAAAAGACCAAATACATTTAGTGTTTAAAAAATCCTGACTCAGCTACATGGTTTTGGTGCTCCCAGTGAGATGGGAACATGGCTTTGTTGGCATCAGCATCTGTTCCCCCGTTGACTGAGCACTGAGGATAACTGCGTGTCCTCTTTGGTCCTACTTCGCCCAACTCCAGAGCTTATTTTGACCACCTGCTTCTCAGGTAACACTGTGGGCCCTGCTTCTACAGAAGAAAATGAGTCTTATGGCCCTATTCCATTAGCTTGTCCAACTTAGCAGAGCAGGTTGGAAGTATTCAATAAGTAGTTTCTATCTCTTAATAGTTTTTTTAAATTTTCAGAATTTATTCAAATTTAACTCAAATTGAAATTTGGAACTAGAATCCCATGTTAAATCCCACATTTCCTCAGAGTAAGCCATATTCATTAAACACTTTTTAAAAAAATCTAATTGGCTTTATTCAACAATTTATGAATCAGGTAGCAACCTACCCAGTAAACAGAAAGGCGCTCCCGTCTGCTAACACTTTAGCATGACCAGGAGCGAACTGAGATCATGTCTCACCCTGACCTCTCAGGACAGTGGTCACAGCTGCACGTTTAACTCAGTTAAAGAACTCGGTTCTCAGTCACTCCGGCTCACGGCATGGGGCTGTGCAGACCCAACACATTTCCATCGCTCTGTCGTTTTCGCGGATGGTGGGGTCTGAGTTTTTACTCCAGAGGAAAAAAAGCTTTGTCGTCATGTTTAGGTCTTAAAACTTAGTCTAGAAGAGGAACCTATTTAAAGCAGTTCACAATGCTAAATTACATTATGTGAACCAACTGAAATTGTTATTTTTGATCTTCAGAAATTAGTTTCACTTAATTTGATCTAACATATCACTACCTTAATTTAACTCCACTCTGATCTTGGTGAGCATCTGCTATGGACCCAGGTAGAAGGTGCACAGCTGTCACTCCCAGCACCTGCACGCAGGTCGAGTCTCCAAGCAGGCAGCTGCCGTTGCTTCAGCAGTAAAGCTCGGCCAGTGTTGACTGGTGGAGAAGAGCTGTTTTCATACCAGATGGAGTTCAGCAGCAGGCTGGACCACTGCAGACCACTCGTTGGGGGAAGTGGTCCTCAGACAGGCTGGCACTCTTGGCTTAAAAGATGCACACATCTCTCTTGAATTGCTGTCGTGTTTTTATTGCTTGATTTTACTTGAGCAGAACTGTTTGAATATCATGAAGGCTCTCTGGGAAAGTGATTGGACTCATTTGAATTGTGCGCTTAGCACCAGTGATGTAAATGTGCCTGTTTGTATTTTGAAATTTAACTGTGTAGCCTTACCACACCTCTTTTAAAAGCTGACTTTTGTGCTCTTCAGGGCTTTCCCTGGGCCACGCTCTCGGCTCGCGTGGCTCCTCGCTCAGAGCTTGTGCGGAGGCAGGGCCTCACGCCGTCATGTGCTCCTTGGACGAGAAACCTTTCTCAGAAGTCCTCCCACCTAGGTGGGTGATAGAACAGTTTGTGGCAACACAAATCTCTCTCCATGGTGGAGAAACCTTTGCTAATCCACTGTATTCTACTCAGTGTATAGTGATGACAAGTGTAACAGAATTAAGCCAGTCAGGTGTACTGGCCCTGGTTGAGTGTTAAATGTGTATCTCACCTGTGGAACCCACTCGGCAGTGTGGCTTCTGGGGTTGGGGACATATTTATTTCTTAAAGCCAAACCTCTCCTTCATCGGTTAGTGTACATACGTCTATTTAGATATACTTATCCCACTTCAACCTCCCCCTCCCCCTTCCCCTAAGCTCTCACGGCCCCTCTGTGGCTGGAGCGGCCTCTCCCGCGGGCCCTGGAAAAGTGCAGGAAGGCCAGTTCCTGCCGCCAGGGCGGGGGTCCCCGGCCGAGTGCAGCCACAGGAGCGCCGTCAGCGCAGGGCGAGGTGGGCGGCGTCGTCAGCTGTAGCGCAGGCCCCTGCCCCTCAGGTCAGAGAGCCCGGCTCCAGCCTCCCTCCGCACGTGTTGGCTGTGCTATGATCGTTTGCCGTTAAAACCTAGTTTGTATGGTGCCGAGAGGATTAATTGTGCAAGTGACTGATTTCATTTAAGTTGTAATCACATCCCTTTTCTGCTTCACCAACCTGAACTGTTTTATGGAAAGTATCATTAAAAGTCTGGTCTCTTTCCTTTTGACTATTATTTCTGAACACCTTTCAGTGGAGCCAAGTAAATAATATCCTCTCTCAAGCTCTGGGCCTTGTGACTCAGCCAGCAGGAGGCAAGTCCTTCAGAACCCTCATCATCGGGGGCTGCTGGCGTCCGGGGGTCCGGAGGAGGTGGCCTGCCGGGAGGGTGGTGGGGAGAGATCCTCCAGGGCTGCTGCCAGGAGCCTGTGGGAGCTCCCTGTGCGGAAGGAAGTCGCCCTGTCTCCCTGGGCAGCTGGTCTTAGAGGAGTGAGGTCGGCTCACCTTCACAGCTAGGCTCAACCCTGAGGAACCAGGCTTTGGACTCTGAGCAAAGGATACTGATGATCTTAAGTAAAAAGTAAAAGACAAGAGCTGTTAAACATTCTGCTTTAGGGAAAGCTTCTGAATACTACCTTCTCTGCCCACATGTGCCCTGTAAACAAAAAAAACCCCCAGAACTGCCCCGAGTCCATACCATGGTTTTCCTGTTACTTACTAGCCGGTTCCTGTTCCTGTAAGTCTTCTAAAACAAGACACGGGTGGTGAACACACAGTACGATATACAGATGATGTGTTATACAACTGTATACCTGAGACCCATATCATTTATTAACCAATGTCACCCTAATAAAGTTCAATGAAAAGGGAAAAAATAAGGTGCCTGCAGCCCAAAAGCTTTTGCTTCCAGGGCCTGTATCACAAGTTGGCAGCTGTGCTGTCAGAGGCTGTGCAGCTGCTGCCGTTGCAGCCAAGGAGCCAAGCTCCACACAAAAAAGAATGGCGCTGTTGCCATTGACAACCCAGGCCTGGGCCAGGCCCCTCCCTGCCAAAGTGCATGCCGTGTGGGCCCACTGCATCCTGAGGCCTGTAGTACAGCCCCTCCCCCTGGAGGGGCTGCTCCAGACAGTCCCTGCTGGGTTCCGCCCTCCAGCAGGGCGGGGTGCAGGCTGGCAGCCACACAAACCAATGACCCTTCCCAGTGGCCAGTAGCCACACAGCCCTGCCTTTTAAGAAAGTGAATGAACTGCCTATTTCCAGGGTCCGCCTCTGAGCAGCACTGGTGTGGAAGGGACTCGGGAGGGGAAGTGAAGATCACACGCTTTCTGTTAAGCCCATCTGTGCTGTGCAGCGAGCCTTTTGAGTGCGGAAGGACAGCGAGAGCCCAAAGAGGGGCTTCTGCTGTCATTTTTAAGTTAAATGATTAGCCCGAAGTACTAGCTAGTTCCCCTCTCCTTGATAAAAGCTTCCCTTTAGCTGTTTGGCCGATTTGTCCTCAACAGAGGACAGTTGAGACTGGCTTCTAGGAGCAGGAGAGCTGGCCAGAATCCTCCTTCCTCAGCTGTGTCCGCTTTTAAAGGCAGGCAAAGCTGCCCTGGGCCTGACCAAGCCTGAGCTCCTCTCTTTACAAACTGCAAACAAAGGATTCCTGTCCTCCCAATGCCAGTTCCACGGGAGAAGGAAGAAAGGACTCCTTGGGTGGAGTGCCTGGCCCAGCAGAGGGAGAGAAGGCTGCTCGCTCGCTCCTGTGGCCCAGCAGCTTTCTCCTATTGGCATTGCACCACCCACCCACCCTGTACCAAAGCCAGGCCCTCCTGGCAGGGAATTACAGGAGAGTCCAGGTCGAACTGGGACTCGAGCAAGCACTGTTAGGAAATGGATCCATGTGTTGAGAAATGTTGGTTACTTTAGGAGAAGAACTGAAAGGAAAAGACTCGTGCAATCTGCCAAGCGGAACTAAAGCATTCACAAGGATGGTGTGTAGTTCGCTTAAAGGGCAAACTCAGGCTAAAATGCTTGCACCTGAAGTTGTTTCACGAAGTTTTGTATGAAGAGCTACTTTATCCATCCTGAGCGTTTTGGAAATAAAGGCTACATACAACTGGACACATTAGAAAAAGGTAAAGCAAGTAATTTAAAACATGACACGTTCGCAGAAGAAACCAGAAAGGTAAGCGACTGAAGGTGCGTGTTGTGGGAACAACGGCATAAGAGCAGAGCCCGCTGGGAGGCCAGGGCCCCCTGCCTGGTGGAGGGCAGCAGGGTCTGAAGGCCGATCAGCCCAGCCTGGAGAAGCCATCAGCGCTGAGTGAAAGCAGGAGGCACCACCCGTGTCTGCTCAGGCTCAGGAAACAACTCGCCCTGAGCTCTTCCCAGACAGCAGGCTGCTTCCCACTACGAGCGAGCGGGGCAGAGCTCTGATGTTCGGGAGGAGGAGAGAAGAGCAGAACTATTTACAGTTAAGGTCCCTCCGCGCGCGGAGCCTGCAAGCCCGGACAGAGGTGGGCTGACTAGCCACCTAGAATGAAAATGCCTCGGGAAAAGCCAAAGAGCTCACTGCTGAACACCATTGTCAGCTAAAAGGAAAAGAAATCCCTTTTAAGGAAACTATTTAACTTCAATAGACTGCTTTTCTGCCAGGATTTTCAATTCCTCTGAACATAAGCCGAGACACAGACTGCTGCACGTATGTCTGATGCTGCCCCCCCGCCAGCGCCAGCACCAGTTGTTATCCCAAAATAAACCCCATTCCACAACCATATATGTCCACGGGCCCGGAGCTGGGGAGGAGCAGCCGGAGGTAGGTCAGGTCCCTGGGCCCCAGCCACACTCCGTGGCTGCTGCACACCATGCACATCACCCAGCTCAATCGCGAGTGCCTGCTGCACCTCTTCTCCTTCCTGGACAAGGACAGCAGGAAGAACCTCGCCAGGACCTGCCCCCAGCTCCAGGACGTGTTCGATGACCCGGCACTCTGGCCCCTGTTGCACTTTCGCTCCCTCACGGAACTCAAGAAGGACAACTTCCTCCTGAGCCCCACGCTCAGGAGCCTCTCCATCTGCTGGCACTCCAGCCGCGTGCAGGTGTGCAGCATCGAGGACTGGCTCAAGAGCGCCTTCCAGAGGAGCATCTGCAGCCGGCACGAGAGCCTGGTCAATGACTTCCTCCTCCAGGTGTGCGACAGGTAGGTCGCCTCCGGAGCAGCGCTGGCACTGGCATCCAGAGCTCGCGGAGGCTCCTTTGGGGCAGGGAAGAGCAGCTTCCAAGACCAAGATGGCTCTGCCTCCGGGTCCTCAGAATAGGCCCAAGGCAGACCCCCTAGGCCCTCCCACAGCACAGCCCCCGGAAGATGGATAAAATCATGGGGGAAGCAAGCTCCTCAGCCTCACAGGGCCTGGAGCAGAGGAGCTGGGCATCAGCTGCGCTGTCCTGCTGTCCTTCAGGCAGCTGTCCTCCCTGGCAGCCACCAAGTGCTAGGTGGTCCGCTGAGCCAGGATTTTCAAGGTCAGACCTCATAAAAAGATTCCTAGATTTAGCAATCAACCCTCCCCACTCCTGCCCCCCACCCCACACACACTCCAGCAAGCAAACCCCAGGGCTCAGGAACTGCAGCTGTGGAAGGGGCGGGGTACCCTGGATTAGCTGAGCCCAGCCAGGCTCAGGGGTGGTGATATACAGTCATGGTCTCCCCAACAGAAACTTCCTGATTTTCACAGTTCTCCCAGGGAAAGGTGTTTTTGCCTAATTTTTCAAATGAGCAAACCAAAGCTCTAAGTCTAAGAGGTCATTTGATTTGCCCACAATCTAGGATTGCCATATTTTAGTAAAAACTCGAGATACCCAGTTTAAATTTCAGATAGAATATCTTCTTGTTAAAAGTATGTCCAAATACACCCTGTATTTGATGCGTCAACCCTACAGCAGAGGCTGAGCCACAGCCTCCTGCCCAGAGCAAGGTCACAGACTTCCCGCCAGGCTCCGCCTTGGCTACCCACACTGGCTGGGCCAGCTGGCCGCCACCGAGGCAGCACGACAGGAAACAAGAAGACGGTGCAGTAGCCCACCTGTGCTTTTTAAGGCAGCAGGAAGGAAACAAGATGGGCTGGGACTGGCTCTCACAGGACCAGGCCGTTCTGATGGGTTGAACAAGGTCCAGAAGTCAGATGGGGGGTGGGGCGGGGGAGGGGGGTGATACAAATGGGGCAGAAAGCTTGCCCTGGAGTTGCTCTAATCCCCCACACCAGCAAGGTGTGTGTGGATGGGCCTCCCAGGCTACTGTCCTGGTGCAGCAAGGGCTTGGAGATTGGGGTTCTGTGCCGAGTCCCCCAGTTCTATTGTCCGATTATATGACCCCAACCCAAGTGTTTAAACTGCCACCCTCATTTCTCCATCTGTGAGGACAAATCGCCCATCTCAGGTTAAGTGACAGTAGCACTGGCACGCAGTGCATATAGATAAGGATCATCAACGCTGGTTCTTCTGGCCTCAGCGGGGCTGGCTCTTTCTCTTCCCGGTCTCTTCCTGCATCAGGATTATTCTGAAGGTTCTTAAAGGGATCGCTCACCACTCCTGAGGCTTAAGCACCTTGTCCCCAGAACCCTCCTGGAGGTAGCAAGTTCCTCCCCACAGGAGGTGGCGCCACAAGGTTCAAACCAGCAAATCAATCACAGGAAGTCACTGGAGCTCTCTGGGCCAGTTTCTTCCTTCACAAAACGGAGGGTAGGGAGGCTGATGTGAAGACTAAGGCAGACTTGTGAACTGGGAGGGTGGGATGGGTTCAGTGTGTGAAATGTGGCCATGCCAGCCTTTTATTTTTTAGTTCTGTACCCTCTGCCCCAGGCACCAGGGAGCTGAGCTGGCCTAGGCAGGTGCAGTCAAGGGGCTGGGGAAGCTGATGGGGCAGGGGGCAGGGATTTCCCCTCTCCTCCCTATAGGGACCCAAGGCCTGTGCCCAACAGGGGTCCTTCTTTTTAAATATATTTTATTGATTTCAGAGAGGGAGAGGGAGAGGTAGAAACATCAATGATGAGAGAACAACTCCTTGGCTGCCTCCTGCACACCCCTTCACCTGCAACCCCAGTAAGTGCCCCCGACGGGGAATCGAACCATGACCTCCTGGTTCATAGGCTGCAGCTCAACGACTGAGCTACACTGGCCAGGCCCGTATCCTTCTTGACCGGATAAGTCTGTCTGCGTTTACTCCCCGAAGTGGACTACAACTACCTATATTCTCTACACCCCAAATAAAAATCCCCTTTTCCCCACTGGCATCATTCCCTCCCTACTGCCCCACCGGGAAAATTAGGCTGAGTGACTTAGCCCAGGGCACACTGCAGATCAGGCAAGACTAACTGCTCCATCAGGCTCTGGTAAGGCTGGGGCAGAAGGGCCTCCGAGCTTTCTGGACAAGCTGCTCCTGCCCTGACTGTGCACCCCCGGGCCTGGTTTGCAGTCCGGGTCTCAGTGGGATGCAATGACTGTCTGAGCTGAAACCAGGCCCCCCACTTCTGCCCTCCTCACGGCTGGAGCGGGCCTGTCTCTAAGCCACCCCCCTGGACACCCTCCCTCTCCTCTGCGCCAGGGAAGGCAGGGCCTCGGCTCACAGGCGGCCTGGCGCGCTCACCACGCCCGCTGCCCGCTTCTCGCGCGCTCACCACGCCAATAAGCGCGGGAGACAGAGGGATCTACAGCTGCCCTCCGGGAGCCTGCAGGACCGGGCCTGGGTCCCCCCTGGGCTCCGGGGCCTACGCAGCCACGCGGATTGCCGTATGGGGAAGGAAAGTGTGGCACCAGCCGGGCTCGGCTCCGGCCGCGGCATCGCAGCCAGGAAGTCCTTACACTCGCTGGGCTGTTCCTTCTCCGTTAATTAAGGTCCTGACGCCTCCCAGGCTACGGGAGGACGGCGGAGACCATGAGCGCCTGCAGCGGCGGGCCCGGGCCCGCTCACGGCGCCCTCCGCGGCCCGGCCCTGCGGCCACCGCCCTCTCTCCACAGGTGCCCCAACTTGGCGTCCGTCACGCTGTCCGGCTGCGGCCACGTCACCGACGACTGCCTGGCGCGGCTGCTGCGCTGCTGCCCGCGCCTGCGCACCCTGCGCCTGGAGAACTGCGCGCGCGTCACCAACCGCACGCTGGCGGCCGCGGCGGCGCACGGGCGCGCGCTGCAGACGCTGCACGTGGACTTCTGCCGCAACGTGAGCGCGGCCGGCCTGCACCGCCTCCGCGCGGCGTGCCCGCGCCTGGCGCTGCGGGCCGAGCACAGCGCCGCCATGATCCCCGACCAGCCGCCGCGCGGCCCCCACGCGCCGGGCTCGGCCCTCCGCACGCTGCTCCCGCGCTAGGCCGCCGGCCGCGGGAGCACACCGGCCGCGCGCTCGGCCGGAGGAGCAGCCCTGCAGACGGCCGCTGTGCCTTCTGAGCCTGTTTACGCGTTTGCAAATGGGCGTATGACTGTCTACCTCACTGTACGATTTTATAAGCAGGATAAACACGAGATTAAATGACCTGATGCTTGGAAAACACGCGCGTGATTCTCCCTGAACACCAGCCCCTTTCCCGCCGCCTTTCCGTAGCAGCGGGAGCGCCTACACTCTCGGTCTGCACCGCCGTCGGGGGTCTAGCCCCAGTGAGACTCGGGCCGCCGAGCTGCCCGGTGCGCTGGGGCGAGCCTGGCCCGCACAATGGGTCGGGGCTGCGGGGGCTGCGGGCCGGGAGCCCTCGGAAGCGGACTAAGCGCTCCGGCGCTCCCCCTAGCGGCCGTCGGAGGCCTCGCCCCGGCGCGGGCGCAGGCTTCCCAGGGAAGTGGCTTCTGCCGGCGCCTGCGGGCGGGCGGGGTGGAATCGGGGCGCGGGCCTGAGCCGCCCAGGGGCGACAGGGGCCATACGGAGCGGGGCTCCCGGTGCTCGGCCCCGCCGCCTGGCTCCCCCCGCGGCTTCGCTCTGCGCCCACACCAGTCTGCTGGCTTTCCCTCGGGCGAAGGGGGTTTATTTCTAGGAGTTACTGCACACAGGATTCTAGAAATTTGCTTGTTGATGTGATTCTTACATAAATTACATGTTTCTAACTCTCTATCCCTCTTCTTCTCTGTAAAAAAATCAACAAAATAATTTTTTTTAAAAAAGAAAAGAAACTGAAGCTCAGAGAAGCCATAACTTGTCAGAGGTTATGGTTGTGGAGCTCCCATGGGTAGTGGGAGATCTCACAGGTGGTGGGCCCTCCCCACTGCAGGGGGTGGCCTGAGAGACTGCTCCTCCCACACAGGCCAGCCTGGGGTTCAGTGCCAACCAGTTTCCAGGCAAAGCACTGGCCCAAGCAGGGGCCCAGGGGGCAGCAACAGGCCTTCAGAGTCCCTGGAAGGGTTGGGGCAGGGTGGGGCTCTCTTGCTTGCCCACAGGTTCTGCCTGGAGAAATGTCAGCACCTCCAGGCCTTTACTTGGATATGTCTGCCTTCCCTTGGCTCCTGCTCAGGCTAGGCTGGGCTTAGGAGACAGGTCTTGCAGGAACTTCATTTTCTGCCTCTACTGCAACAATGTTGAAAAAAGCTCAGGTTTCCAGGGGGTTAAATGTTTAAAACAGAGCCACTTAAGCCTCAGGGCTTTGCTTTTGGCTTCTCTGATAAACCCCAATTCCCAGCAGGCTGTTTGCCCAGGCTGGAGGTCAGTCTGGGGAACAACAGGGCTGTGGTTTCTGATTCTCCTCTGGCCAACCCCCTCTTCACCTCAGCTTTTCACCTCAGCTTTCCTACCTGTGTACTGGGATGGCTAGAGGATTTAAAAAATATATATATATTTTATTGATTTTTCACAGAGAGGAAGAGAGAGGGATAGAGAGTTAGAAACATCAATGAGAGAGAATCATGGATCAGCTGCCTCCTGCACACCCCCTACTGGGGATGTGCCCGCAACCAAGGTACATGCCCTTGACCGGAATCAAACCCGGGACCTTTCAGTCCGCAGGCCGATGCTCTGAGCCAAACCGGTTCTGGCTGGCTAGAGAACCTTATTGTCTGGGTTTTGTAAGGAGCGGTGTGTTTGTAGAACGGAGGTCACTGCAAGTTCAGCTGGGAAGGGGTAACCTGCATGCCTGAGGCCCCTTTTCCCATGGGGGCTCTTTTATAAGTGAGGGCACATTCCCCCCTAACCCTTCAATGCCTCGTACCCCCCGCATACCAAGACTGCGGTGAGCACATGACTAAAGCTGCGCCCCACACTGTTTCTAGGGCTCTTAACTCTGCCCCGCCCCACCCAGGGAAGCTTTGGGTCCCTGAGCCCAGCACCATCCGAGGTGCTCCCAGAGGTGGGCAGTACCCTGCCTCCTCACAGTCACTGCTCACCATCAGCAGCGCTGAGAAAAGCACCTGCCAGGACAGCGCCCTGCTGACTCTGAAGACTACTTTCTGGGTCTTCTCTCAGATCCGCACAGAGCAGGGGGCACTCACTGCATGCTTATTCATCTGGCAAACATTCAGTGGATACTGGTTGTGGGCTGGGCCACGCCCTCCCCCGAAGGACTCACTCTGGTCAGGAGACGTGCAGCTTTGGGTGAGGGGAGCGTTCAAGTGCTCGCCCAGCTCCACAACCATAACCTCTAACAAGTTATGGCTTCTCTGAGCTTCAGTTTCTTTTTCTTTTTTAAATATGTTTTATTGATTTTTTACAGAGAGGAAGAGAGAGGGATAGAGTTAGAAACATCGAAGAGAACATCGATCAGCTGCCTCTTGCATACCTCCCACTGGGGATGTGCCTGCAACCAAGGTACATGCCCTTGACTGGAATCGAACCCGGGACCCTTCAGTCCGCAGGCCGACGCTCCATCCACTGAGCCAAACCGATTTCGGCTGAGCTTCAGTTTCTTTATCTGTAAAATGGGACCCACTCTGTGACACTGTGATGACATTATGTCTAAACTAGAGGCCTTGTCCACAATTCGTGCACATTGAAATTAGAAGGTGGCTGGCGGGGTGGGACTGGGCGAGACGTGCTGGACACACCCTGGAGCCAACCTCCCGTGGTCCTTCCCTGGCCAGCTGCACCTGGAGTGGTGCTGGGGCTTGAAGGGCATCTACGGGGTGAGCGTGGTCCCTCCAGCAGGTGGGGTCCCTCAGCCTGGCCTGTGGGGATCGGGCCAAAACATTCCCTGAGAGGTTCCGGATTGGGAGAGGGAGGTTCTCAGGTGACACACTCAGAATTGGGCTCCCTCCTCTCTGGTCACCCCAGAACTGCAGCTGCCAGGTCACTGCAGCTCAGCAGCACCTGCATTGAGCATCTGCCCCCTGGTGGTCACTATGTGTTTATAGCTACTGGTCACAGCATCTGCCCCCTGGTGGTCATTGTGTGTCATAGCTACTGGTCCAACGGTCACTTGGGCTTTTATATATATAGATGTGTAGTGCTGGAAGGTAGGGGTAGGGAAAGGAGCCCTCACATCTACGGGGACTAGAAAAGCCAGGTGCCTGGCATAGTGCAGAGGAGAGCAAGCTGGGGAGATGGGGCTGACCTCCAGAGGAGGCACCTAGAAACGACTGGGAGTCAGCTGTGCCTTCACAGCCTCTACCAGAACAGACCACAGACTTCCCCAGCCCCTGAACGTTAACTCTCTTCATTCTGTCGTGGCCGAGACAACAATGGCCACAGAGGGAATGCTAGGGGGAGGGTGCAGAACAGGCCCCCGACTGGCACCACACAGCGCTGCTGGTTTGCACGGGAACCGCAGTGCCAGCAGCCTGGGGCCACACGCTTAGGTCACAGGCCCCAGACTGCTCCCCGGGAGGTGGTGCAGAGGCCTGACCTTCAGGGACACACTGGCCAGTGTCTGCAGAGGCTGACTGTTCGGAGAGGACTGACTGGACCCCCATCAGCTCCCACAGGGGCGTGCGGACGGGAAGCTGGTCTCCCAGCTCTAACCTGGTGTATCTGGGATCCAGGGTTTTCCCTCTCCGGACCCTGGATTTCTGGTCTGTAAAGGGAGAAACTGATCCCTTAGCTCGGGCTCCTCCAGCTCTAGGATTCCATGCCCAAGACTTGCTTTTTGCTAACAGCTCCGTTAACTAGATGTGGGTGCCTCAGGGCTGGCATGTTGGGCAAAGGCCACAAAGCGGGGAGGCCTACCTTGAAGGGCCTCTGAGGAATCTTACATTTTAAAGACTGGAGGACAAAGTTCTCGAGACTAGTGAAGGGTCATAAAAAACCCACAAGTATTTGTTAACTGAAGGATCCAGCAAACAGAGAAAGTGCCCAAGCCTCCACGGAGCTGAAAGTGACCCAAGTAAAGAAATATCATGTCTGGCATTTCAGTTCTTCCGTTCAGCGACTTACACCTCCCTCTCCAGGGCTTCCAAAGCCGAGAGAATGCAGAAAAGCAACAGGCTCCCCAGCAAAGAAACGGCATATTATAAAACGAAGGCGGTGGTGCAGATTTTCCTCGTGGGATCAGACCTTCTGAGAAGCTGTCCATCAGACCAGACAGACAGTGAGGCAGGACAGTAGCAAGCTAGGAAAATTCCTGGCAAATGGGCTGGGGACACAGACAAAAAAATTAAACAAGGCCAAACAATTTGAACAACTTCCAGCCACCTAGTAAATTGCAAGACCTTATTTCCCCTGACCAAGGACACTTGAGAGCAAATAGTTCATACCTCTCCTCCCCAACCAGAGAATGCTCGGCTTAAACCATCCTGGTCTGGGACACAGAGAACAGAGACCCAATTAGTGCCGTTTGTGCCAAGCAAACCCACGGACAGATGAAGTCAGGGAACAAATATAAACCCAATTAGAGCCAGATATGCCCAAGATAAAAGTAAAACGGTAAAGCAGACCAAAGGACAATCCCAAACTCCCCGATATGCTCATGTTGGTGCATCAGCATGTTAAAGACACACCTGGAAAGCTGGTGAATATTCTGCCAAAATTCTCCCCTAAAATCCTCGCCCACAGAAGAAAGATAAAAACCCTCATAACGAACAGCTAGAGTGGGCTCCCCCCCGTGTATGCTCACGCTGCTTCTCGGACATGAACTTCTTACTTCTTCCTAAACTCTAGGGTCCCCAGCAGGCATGCGGCCAGGGAGCAGTGGGCAATGGCAGCGTGTCCAGGGCTCACCCCCTGAACCTGTCTCCAAGGCCTTTTCTCCGACTTCCCGGTGAGCTGACAGCGCCCCACCGTGGCTCCCTTCTTGCCTAGTGTTTCTAGGGAGCCAACGGGAGGCCCGCCCCGCTCTCTTCTGGTGCCGAGTGCTGCCTGGTGTCCCTGTCCCCAGCTTTAGTAAACACATTTAGAATCACCGGGACTTGTGTTGTGAAATCTTTCCTGCACGAAATCAAGAACGTACACACTGCAGGCCAGCCTGAGGCAGACCCTCTCCTGGCCCAGTCCCTGTCCGGTAACAACAGGACCTGGAACCAATAAGCATTAGCCTGCTGGGGGTGCCTCTGCCCTTCGGTGTAGAGAAACTGTTGATGGCAGAGGCCAGAGCCTCACAAGGTCATAGCATTACTGTGATTTGAAATCGGCTTCGAGACAGCAAT